GAGGCCCGGGCGCGTGGGGGGGGGGAACCCCCTCCCCCTCGGAGCTGCCGAGCCCCGTCGCAGGCGGCCAAGCCGGGCGCCGGAGCCTCTGCGAGCGAAGGCAACGCGGACTGACGGGCGCAGAAGGGGGGCCTCCGCCGGACAGACCAGGCGTCTCCCGGGCCCCTGGCAGAGGAGCGGACTCCGGGCCCGCTCGAGAAGCGAAACGGACGTCAGGGGCGCAGATACCCCCGAAAGTGCCGCCGGGGGACACGGAGGGGGCGCGCACGCCTGGCCTTTCCCCGGGCTGGGCAGAGGCGAGGGGAATGATCGCTGGGGAATGAGTCCCCGGGGCGCCGGGCTCACCCCCCTGGGGGGGGGGGATCGGAGGGTGCGCGCGGATCCCGGATCCCAGAGGAGAAAAGGCCTCTCTCGCTCTCCCCTCTCCTCCTTCTCCCGACCCTCTCCCTCCCTCCCGGTCTCCCGCAATCGCCTCTTCAGCGGCCATGCCCGGCGGCTGCCCCATCGTCTGACTGGGGAGCTTGCCCGACGGTCTGCGCGCTCCTTGGCCTCTGCTGGGGGGGGGGCGGTCTTGCCCCCTTCGCAGGTGGGACACAGCCTGCAGAGACGGAGCCAGCTCGTCGTCGAACCATTTTTGGGTTTATTTTTAAAACGACAGTTCTCTCATGAAGGCATTCCCATTTTGCATTTGTCGAGCAGGTGAGGGCACCCGCCCTGTCCCCCGCCGCCAGCCCAAGAGCCACGGCCACCTTCAGAAGCGCGGGCTGGCTCCTGGCGCCACGCTCCGCCTCCCCTCCCGCCGCCAGAGGCCGGCCAGGGCGCGCTTCCTCCCCGTCGGGCCAGAAAGAGGCACCCGCCGCGGAGGAGCTTCCCTTCGCCGGGGTGGGCAAGTCCTTCCTGGCCCCGGGCCCGCCGCCGGCTCGCTGCGAAGTCCGTCCTACTGGGACATCCCGCGTTTGGGATCGAGGCCCCATGAAGCCTCTCCGTGCGGCACGGACCCCAGGCCCTTAGGCGCGCCCGACGACAGCCCCTCGGGGGTGAGGATCTGCCGAAGGGGACGGGCGGGGCGGGACAGGGGGCTTCCCGCCTCTCTTCCCACCGGTGGGGCTGGGCTTGCGAGGCACAGGCCGGTCTCCGGCTGCCTGGCGGTACCCCGGCCGTGAGACGAGACCGGGCGATAAGACGAGGGTCATCTAGAGACCAAGGGCGTGTTCGGGCATTCTCCAAAGATCACTGGTCACCAACGGAGGCCGAACGCGGCGCTTCCGAAGGGATCCCGACTCCTTTCCCTAACTTAACCCAACCGGAAACCCCATGACGCGAGAGCGGGTCCTGTCTGTTTCAGGGGAATTCACTTCCAAATCAGGAGTTTGGGGAGTAGTCCGGGAAGGGGGGGGGGGCTTCACTCAGGATGGGGGCCCCCCACAACTCTCGCTTTCAAATGTGCTCTGGATTTTCCCAGGCGCAGGTGCATTCAAAATTATTTTAAAAGGGGGGGGGGAGGAGGAGAAACAAAAGATGTAATCTGCCGTTCTCACACACACCCCCGTTCTCACTTTTTGCTTTCCCCGAGATTGTACTTTGTTTATGTACACACAGATATACACCCACACACACCCCTCTCTCTCTTCCACATTTTAAAAAGCTACTTTCCCGATAAACGTCACTAAAGGATCCAGCGTTGCCATTCCGAAAGGAGAGCCCCCCCCCCATCGACAATGTGCAGGAGGTTTGCTTGGCTTCCAAGCGGGCGGGGTCCAGTCAGGCACTGTCGAGAGCCAGAAGGATCGGGCCCTGTGAGAAAAATCACCCCTCCGCTGAAGACCGAAACAGGCAGGGCCTCTTGTCCGGTCCAAGGCGGCGGCCCTGGAGTCGGGCCGAGTCTGGGACGAACCTCTTCGGGGAGACCTTCCCGCCGCACGTTCTCCCCGCGGGACTCTTCCCAGTTCCGCTTCCCTGACGCAGGCCTATTAGTCGAGGGGGGGGGGATCCCGGGTCTTGACTCGTGGCTCCCGCAGGCCGCCGGGCCCGGGCGGCGCTGGACCTGGGGGATCCTGGTTCACAATTCCCGCCTCCGCCCTGGCGGCTTGCGGGGCCTCCCTCGCAGGGCTGTTGTGAGGATACCGCGGAGGAGAGGCGAATGATGTCAGCCGCTTTGGGTGAAAGGCGGCGGGATGCGGATAAAGTTGCAAAGCAGAGATCCCCGTTCTCGGAACGCTCCCTTCCTGGCGGGGCTGCCGGCATTCGCGGCTGGTTCCGCTGGGCACCCCCCCCCTCCCGTGAGGCGCTCCTTCTCCAGAGGGTCTGTCTCACGAGGGAGTCTCCCCCCAGCCGCCTGTTCTCTGCGGCGAAGGGTCTGAAGCCGCCCGAAGTCCGGAGGAGGACCCAAGGCCCCGGCTCTGTCGAAACCTGGAGGGCGAGGCGGCGGGATCTTCAGCCGTCGTGCTCGGAGGTCCCCGCGGTTTTGCGCCCCGGTCGGCCTAGGAGAAGAGACCTGAGAGCCCGCGGGGGACCCGCACCTCCGGGGGAGGCTGTCGGCGCGAACGAGGGCCGAACCAGCTGGAGGGAGAGAAACAAACGCAGCCTTCTCTTCGTCGGAGGGGGTTGTTAAGCAGGCGAGGGGATTGTCTCCATGGGGCGGGGGGGGAATGAAATCTGTACCCTCTATCCCACAGAAAGCTTCAGCGGCCAGTTGCTCCGCGTTCAGGGACAGGGAGAATCTCCCCAGACGGGGGCAGCCCTAGTACGAACCCCCCCCCCCCCCGCCGCCCGAAGCCCCCTTTCAAGCCAAGCTACCTCGCAGGGCTGTTGTGGCAGCGCAGGGGCAGAGAAGAAGAGCTCCCTGCAGAACACCTGAAGCGCCTTGGCGGGATCCCTTAGCAATCTCCACTCAGAAACATCTTGGCGCGGGTGGCCCGGGGACGTTCGGGGTGGGTTCGCTTCTTGGTCGCCGCAATAAGTGGTCTGGGGTTTCCCCGCTCCCCCACCCCACCCCCGCCCGCCGGCCTTCCGGTCCGCTTCTGGGAAGAAGCCCAAAACTAACGACCCGGGCCCGGTTCAGCGCAGGCGATCAGCAGCTACCCGGAGGGCCTGTCGCGCTCCGAAACCTGGCCAGCCCGAAAGCGTCCGGAAGGGCCCTCGGCCTCTTTGCGCTCTTTCCACCTGACCCTGCACGACAGGATCGGGAATGTTCTCAGTTGCAATAATTCCTAATATCAGCAGTTGTGTTATTCTGTCCATGGCTATGAGGATGCACACAAACTCTAACATGGAAGGAAGGAAGGAAGGAAGGAAGGAAGGCCAAGCGATCTTGCTTTGCGTATGGGTGCGGCTCAGCCTCTAGACTGAGACCCTCGCGACCTACTCGACGGCTTCACTTCGGAGGAGACGTGCTTTGACTCGAGCTCCCACGCACAGGTCGGAACCCGTCGCGTTAGGCGCAGGGGCCCTTCTTTACCCAGGCGGGAAACTGTTCGGGATTTCCGCACGGCCACTGTGGGCCAGTGGTCAGAGGGCCGGACTAGGATCCGCCAGACCGCTCGGTCGGAATCCCCGCTCTGAAGCCCACCGGGCCACCCGGGGCAATTCACTCACTCTCGAGCTAACGTATCTCCCCGCACTAGTGTGGGGAGAAAGGTAAAGAACACAGACGCTTGTTGGAAGAACAGTATCCGAGCCATTCACTCGCGGGCTTCGGGTGTCAGGGGCTCCAGCAGAAGGTTCTGGGTTGTCAGAAAAGTTCAGAGGCCTGTTCTTGGAAAGATGCAAGACCAGAGGGGGGGGGGGAGAGGTTGTTTAGTTGTTTTCTCCAGTACTTTTAAATACCAAAGTTCCAGGTTCCCCTGAAAACTATTGCTGATGGCCTGTCGCATGCTCCTCGGTTACACGGCTCCGCTGAGCATTGTATGAAAGGCTTCCTCTAAATCCAGCAGTGCTAGCCTGTTGGGGGATAGTGAGATATTGAAAAAATGGTATTTAGCAGAGATAAGATGGTCCAGCAGAGCCAGAGTGAAATAATTCAGACTGAGAGTCCATGTGTGATTAAAATATAAAGTTTTTACTAAATTCTAGCATGGGAAGGGTAACTGGGATGAAAATAACAACAGAGCAAAATCTGCTACATCCTTACTCTACAAAGACAAAACTAGAAGAGAGAGATTATGGCTACTCTTCTTCTTCTTCAGAACACCAAACAAAGATGGGAAGAGAGCCATAAAATGCTAATACACCTTGACACTTTAGTCCCAATCAAATTCCTAGATCAGGGAGAAAATTCCCAGGTATTCTACAGCTAAAGAACATTGGTTACATGAAAAACATGTGACTTCCTGTGAGTAACATAAACAAACATTTAACCCCAGATATACTGAGTGTTTTCAACTTGTAATACTCAACACCCCTTCTCAAGTT